GGAGAGCTCGAAAGCATGGACTAGAAGGTTTACTGAAAATTGTTCATTTGTGGCAGTTGGAACGTTTAAAAGTTTGATTAATGAATTGTTCTTCAGATTATTGATAGAATCTTACTTAAACAGGGCAGAAAAGATCAAATCTTTCTAGTACATTTGTTGTCTACCCGTTTATCTGTCTTATACTTGGGGATAAAATATTAAATTGGGGAGGCTTCTCCTGCTGGATGACCAGGGAACAAAATGGACAATAATTTTCTTCCTCTTCGTCTTATTGGAAAGCATCTTCTTGTTTTTCCTCTTCTTCATATCCTTTTTATCTCGCATGCTTATCTTTTGTGATTGCAGCTCTATAGAAAAGGAATCAAGGTGACTGTTGTATGTCCTGGACCGATAAAAATGTCAAGTGTTCCTGAAGCGAGCACCTCTGGCCAAAAGGGCTTTTCTGAGGTAATTTTCTTAAAATGATTTTCTCTAATGGTGTCATGAATTATTTGTCATACTATTCTTACTTTAAGTTATTTTCTGCATTTCAGTTATATGTATTATTTATCAATCTTGTTGTCACAATTTTATTTTTTTCATGAATTAAAATATATTATGTAGTAGGGTAAACAGAAAGGCCATTACTATCATGCATCTTGGTATACCATGACTTTTTCCAAAGTTTGTGTACATCAAAAGTGACTAACTGATTGCATTGCTGGCTACTTGATCAGTGAGAAGGCATTTAGTAGTTGTGGAATGGTAATTCTATAATGCCTTTTATTCAGATGCTTTCTTTCTGTTTTCTCAGAAGCGTGTGTCATCAGAGAGATGTGCAGAGTTGACAATTATTGCTGCAACCCATGGACTAAAGGAAGTCTGGATATCATATCAGGTATTATCAATGAGATTAGAATATTATTTGCAGTAGCTAACATTCCAAATTTTTTTTGGATCTTATAAGTGAAAAAGTAATGAAAATAATATCAGCTTGCATGTTGAATGATGTTTCTGTGTTCATAAAATTAATGGGATAAAGCCTGGATGTTGACAACTAAGTTGATGGTGAAATATAGTGGACATATTATAGGCAGCAGCATAGCTAAAATAGAAAAATAATATGGAAGCAATTTATTGTGGTTCATTGAAAGGTTGGTGTCAGTTCTCTTCCCATCCTTGGCATTTTTTTCTTGCTTAAGAACATGACCAACATCTTAGTTTAAGTATGACCTCAAGCTTGATTTTTAACATAAAATGACATGTGGAACAAGGACACCATTGCAGCGAGTTTGGGGAGTACTTTGGTCAAACGGCAAATTTGGGTTCAAAGGTGGGCATTGAGGGTAAATGAATCACTCTCCCACTTACAAAGCAATTTTTACTATTTTTCTTGAAATTCGAGTCAGTATTGCTGACGTCATTGGGCAAGGCTTCAAGAGTGGACCTCACTATTATAGCCGGTCAAATGTTTGCCTTATTCATCTTTGGCATGCTCTAATATGTTTTAAGTTACTTGTTTGCTCTACTCATGTATGACATTTAAAATTTCTGATTGGTTTTTATACTTGGTTTGTCTTGTAGCCTGTACTTGCAGTTATGTACTTGGTGCAGTACATGCCAACCATTGGCTTTTGGCTTATGGACAAGGTATTATCTATGCTCCCATCATTAAAACATTTGCCTTGTTCTAGATGTGCAATCATCACACAAAAGCCTTAATAATGTATGACATATTAGGAAATTAGGGCCTAAGGTTGTATACAATGAGATTTGTGGTGGATTTATGGCTAGTAGAGCTTCTATGGTTGGGGTTTGAATTGGTAGATGAAAGGTTTGATGGTTCACAGAAGGGGAAAGGTTTAAAATGGTTCAATCTTCCGAGTTGGAAGTTGCTGGATTTTCAAATAAAGGGCTTATTGTTTGTTAAATCGGAGGCCAATAGGACTGGGCAGTTGGCCTAGTAGTCCATGTAGCTGTCCCTTTGGACAGTGAGAAGGTTAGATGTTCAGGGTTTGAGTCCATGGAGCGACGGCGGCCCTTTTGTTATAATCTAACTCATTAACCCCCTAACATCCTATCATATGGCAAAAAAAAAAAGAGAAATTTTGAGGCCAATAGGTAGGGGAAAAGTTTGGACTTGATTTGGGAGAGTTTTGAGCTGAAATCAAGGCTGTTTCGAGGCTGTGAATTTGTAACCCGAGAACAGTGTCTTGAATCTCTTGATTGTTGCTCAGAGAATAAAGAAAAGAAGGAAAGAAAGTGAAAAATGGTGAGGGCTTTCCCTCCCAAGGGTTAAAACAAAATCTCATATAAGAACAATACGAAAATCTCCAAAATTCAATTCTTCATTGAAAGGAAAGATCAGTTGCACATATGTATGAACTTATACTAATAGGACTAGAACTTCAAATTAGGAAACTAATAGACTTTGATTATTTAGGATATTCTAGACCTATTATAGACCTTGCAGATATATATGAGCTATACTAATAGGACTAGTTGCAAGTGTGTGCATTCAAAGCTTGTTTGGTTGAATCTTTGAAGATAGGTTCCTATCTGAATGAACCTTTTCCAGTGACTGGTTCCAACTACATAAATGAAACTCAAGGTGATTGGCTTGTTTAAACTGAAAATTTTAATATATATATATATATATGAATGAACAAAGAACAATCTAGTGGTGATCTAGTCATTTAGACATTCCATTTCATTCTATGCAGTATTATCTACTGAATATCATGTTATAGCTTTTGTTGTATTTTATTATCGCAATTCTGTGTTTTCTTGAGTCTTATGTGATTCTGTTAGTACTAATTGGGTCTTTTTTGTTTGTTTGTTTTGGTAAAAGGGGAAAGTCATGAGGACCTTCAAGTTCTGTCTCGCCCATTGGTCGTGGAGATGAGTCCTGTATTATGTCCATCCCTGTAAATTGGAGAACAATACCAGTTACTTAAAGAGAAGTTTTTTTTTCCCAAACGAATAGTAACATTTGTATTTCTATTTACCTTGGTTGTGGTGAACTTCTGGTTGAGGGGATTTTGTGTTGTCATCTGTTGGAGAGGATTGGCTGTTGATTGAAATGTCAAATTCAATCCTCTGTGATTCTTTGTTTGACGTTTGGGAATTGGAGGGGTTGGATGGTGATGGTTGAGGGCTAGAGACAGAAGGGACAATGTGTTGAGGAGAAGTGGAAGGATGTTGTGATGCAGACTGTGTAGATTGCTGTGGCGAAGACTGTGAAGCAGGTTGTAAGGAAGTTTGTTGCGATGCTTCAGGTGGTGGTGGAGGAGTTGGTTGTACAGTGGGTTCTGTGGGTACATTGCTGATTAGACTGGGAATTTGATGAATGTGTTGAGGAGAAGTGGAAGCATCGTCATCATCAGCAGCAGCAAGGAGTAATCTCCTTCTTTTTCTCTGCACAAAAGTAAGTGATCAGTCGGGCGTGAATGGAAATTGAGATGCTATAAATATGTAAAGTGAAGGCTTACTTGGTAGAGCCGCCCTGAAGGATTTGATGTTGTTTGGCCAACCATTTGGCTGAGAGGGATATCCCACTCACTTAGGTCTGTGCTTAGAGCAGGAGCAGTGGAAGGCTCTTCTCTCTTCTTTGTCGTGACCTCTGTCTCGGCAGGGGTACGGGTGGTAGTTCCTCTCTGTGCTTGTGTCTGCGCAGCTGCGAAAGAGTCTGCCATTAATTTCAGAACTAAGGGGGTGTTTGTCTGAGTAGTTGCATCAATTGGATCCTTGCCTTTACGTTGGTCCCTAACCAATGGTTCAGAAGCAGGCCCAATTTTGGCTGTCAAAGGTTAAACAAGTTAGTGTTGTAGAGAAAAAAACAAAACAAATTGCATGACACAGTCAGGGATATGAAGTATATGAAGGAAGGATACCTGTAGCCTTAAGCTTGGAAGGCGAGGATTTGCGGCCCTGAATATGAATACAAGTATCGTTAAGGCAGCTTTCAAGTGGCTTGCAGAAAATAATGGCAGACATAAGTCCCTACCAATGGTTAAAAGCAGCCGAGCAGTCCGAAGCAGGTTTGAAGAAGAAGGGGCCAAAATCTTGGAAAAGTTTGGTGTTCTCTGTCAGAATGGATTTAGCTTGTATAGGATCTTTGAAGTGGATTCTGGACCCAATCTCCTTATGGATGGTTGGGTGGAAATAAGGACAAGGGATAGCCTGGGAAAGACCAAATTGCCTGGACCATTGATTGGGACAGTATGTCTCAAAACTGCAGCTGGATAGCTTGGCGGAGGATATGGAACAGCCAGTCAAGACATGTCTAGAGGTGAGAATGTGTCTCCAACTCTCATTTTGTTCTTGGACTTGCTCATTGTGTAAATCAGAAGGGTCTGTGAAGAGGAAGCGAAGTCTACTGGAGGAGAATTCAAAGTTTTGAAATGGCATGTACAGGTTGGAAGGTCTCTACGAAGGAAGGTTGTAAAACATGGTAAGATGATTTCTGAAAGTGAGGATGGGTTGGTTGTTATAAGTGAGCAGTTGCTCAGCATAGGAGTAGCAAACAGGTTTCAAGGTGTTAGGTGGTGGGGGTTGTGCCTCAGGGAAATAGGCATACAACCAGGCCTGGAAGAGCCATAAGGGGCCACCACAGTTGCCAGAAATCTTCTTGTCGACAAAGGAAAATAGGGCCTTGTAAACGGTGGCAAGAAGATAAGGGGCTAAAGCCATAAGTTGGCCATCTTGCATACACAAGGCAAGGGGGAGGTATTCTTTCGTGATCTTGTACCCAGGGACACAAAAAAGAAACTCACAAAGCCAAAGTAAGTAAAAAGCAGTTCTTTCTTTGTCATCGACAGGGGAACCAGGCTTGCCTTGGTATTTTTTGGCAAAATCTGTATAGCACATGTCAGTGTTTAAAGTAAATGTCACTTTTGGAGGCTCAAGGAGAGCATGAATTGGATTGCCCAAGATTGAGAGACCAGTCAAGTGAGCTACATCTAAGATGGTAGGGGAAATCATACCAAAATTGAGGAGTAGGGAGATACTAGACTGCGACCAAAAGCATGCAGCAGCAGCAATTAACCCTTTGTCCACACCATAAATTTTAGTCGACAGTCTAATTGCTTCACCAATGCCCTGGTTCTTCCATACTTCAACGTCGTGACCTTCAATTCTCCTGGCCCAGCTTCGCCAATCAGAGTCTGGTGACCTCCACCCTCTGAGTGGGTTTTTGCTAACATTCCAGTTAGTCCACTTGAGTCCAGCTTGGTTGAGAAGAAGGTTCTCACCATTACCAAGGGGATAGTATAGAGCTAGCTCGTCTGGGAAGTAAGACGCGAAGGTAGGGCCTAGAGTAGCCTTAGCGACAGAGCTTGTGCTGGGCAATAGGGTTGCAGCAAATTTTAGAAGAGCGATACGTGCTCTGATACGGTCTGGGAAGTGGAGTAGATCTTCATTGTTCTCCTCAGATGGAGATGGTTGAGATTTTTTCGGCGCCATGGCTTAGGGTTTTGTGGTGCTCTGGTTTTGAACGGTAATGGTTGAGAAGAAGGAGTACAGTCTGGGGAGTTCGAATCAGAGGGAAATGAAGTGGTTTGAAGTTGAAAAGGTGGGTCTTTTATAGCTTATGATGGGGCCAGTATATTTAAAAGCTCTTATATTGGGCTGTAGTTTATGTTTGTTTTGGGCCCGTATTAAGAAATTTGCTATTGGGCCCAAACAATGGCCCCCTCGTTGAAGTTAAATATCATATGACTTGGACCCCCACAAGGGGGGACCCCCATGACCCCCTATCTCTCTGATTGGCCACTTTTTTTTTATTTTTTTTTCAATTTCTTATTTTTTTTCCTTCTCCAATTAGCAGCCCCCACGTGTGTGTGTGGGGTGGGGGTGGTGCAGGTGGTGATTGGAGGGGGTCTCAATCACTTCCGCAATATTTAACTTGAACATGGGGGCCATTGTTTGCACCAAGTTTTGCCAGTCTCTATCGACAGATGGTCCACTTAATCGAGGGCATGTGGCCAAGTCTGAAGGAATGTCCATGACCTGAAAGTGGGCTCTCTGCATGTGGGTCACCTAGAAGTGATAGGGGAAGTTTTTACCACCAGTCATGGAGTTAGTGGGCACACTTTCAGGAGGAAGCATGAGACAAAGCAGGAGCCTTGCTCTGTCGACAGAAGTTTAAAACAGTTGGTTGCCATGAAATAAACACAAGAAAAGGGAGCTCGACAGATAGAAGTGGAGGTTTAGTATTGATATACGTATACTGTTTTTGTGGCCCATCATTGCATGATCCCACACGTCTACACCATAACTGCCACTGTAACTGCCCCCTGACTTCGAATCTTCAAGTCCCTTGAAAACCAATATTGACTCTTCCCCGTCGACCTTCCTTTTCACCATTGTGGGGCATGTCCCTCATCATTATGAGTTAGTGGGCATACTTTCAGGAGGAAGCATGAGACAAAGCAGGAGCCTTGCTCTGTCGACAGAAGTTTCAAACAGTTGGTGGCCATGAAATAAACACAAGAAAAGGGAGATCGACAGATAGAAGTGGAGGTTTAGTATACTTGGAATGCCTAGAACAGAGATCGTTGGTTTCGATATCCGTATACTGTTTTTGTGGCCCATCATTGCATGATCCCACACGTCTACACCATAACTGCGACTGTAGCTCCCCCCTGACTTCGAATCTTCAAGTCCACTCTGCCAAATATTGACTCTTCCCTGTCGACCTTCCTTTTCACCATTGTGGGGCATGTCCCTCATCATTATGAGACAAAAATCGACAGAATATTGTCCACTAAACACAACCATAATCCTTGCAAACTGGGCCAATGAATCGCAACACTTGGCCACTCACTGTTACTGCCCCTGACTATGAATCATCAAACTCTGCCAAATATTGAATTTTCCCTGTAATTTAATCAAAATATATTCAATGTCGGTAAACTTGAAAATATGTTTGAAATAACCTTTTTCTGTATTGTAATGACTTAAACACAATTGTTGTCCTACATTTTACGTAACGAAAATACACAACTTATTTATATCAAAAACAAAATATACATCTCGGGTTTATAATCAAAATAATGGGAACTACCTTTTTTTAAAAAAAAGTTCACTCATATTTTCAGCTATATTCTGATTGGATATTAGATTAAAAATTCCTCTTTGTACCTATTTTTCCCACATCCTCCCAACAGCTGCTCCATTCAACTAACATTGAATCTTGCATGCCACCTGACTTACACGCTGGAGCAGTTACTGGCAGTGCTCATGGATTTAGTGGCCACCATCCAAGAGGAAACATGAACGAATTGGGAGTCTGTATCTGTCGAGGAAAGGCTAAAAGGACCTGGGCACAGGTGGTAACTTCAATTATATGCACTTCGACAGGTACAAGTGAAGCTTTTATGTGGTTTCAATACACGGAAATGACCATGCAGTTACAGAAGTTGCACAGAACCAGTTGCAGAATTGGCAGATCATGGGGTCGTGGGAATTTTATAGTTATAAAGGGCAGAATGTTTGCAGAGAGAGAGGACATGAACAACAACATAACTTACTTTCTACATTGTAACTTCTGTGTAGTTTTTTCCCTTTTACTTTCTACTTTGTTACAAACAACACAACAACACAACAACTTACTTTCTACTTTCCACTTTCTACTTTCTACTTTCTACTTTGTTACTTTCTACTTTGTTACCATCAGTTCATCGAAAGAAGTCTTCATCCATTTCAGGCATTTGAACCAATACCACAATTGCTTGATTTTCTTCTTGAACTTGTCAACTTTAAATTACTGCTTCGTTGCTGTCCATATAGGCCCACCATAATTTTACTAACAATAAACCCATACTTCCATAGTAAACATTAAATAATTTCACAACTCCTGTTCGTAACTCGTAATTCATATACCGATCGGCATGGAGATAAAGTAACGAGTTCGTTGGGTTACTTTCTCCAAGTAACACCCAAAATTAACTGCCACTTGGATTATATACAAAATGCATGTGCTGGTATGTAATTTTGCAAACCCACTTGGACAAAATTCGTATTTTACTCGAAATATAATACTAATTTACAGACACAAGTCATAACAAATCAATACGAAGCGAAACACATCGTTAGTTGATAAACCACACCGCAAAAAAACCCTTCAGTTAGATCCAACCAAATATGGAACAGAAACAAGCAACCCGCAATAGGAATCTTGGAATACAGACATAAGCCAATTTCCCACCCAAAACAACACACAGACAACCCATATATATCTCACCTCACCTTCAGTTAGTTTTGAAAATGACAAGTCACTGCAAACACAAATGACAACATCACTCTAAACAATATGGGAAATTTACAACTCGTGGCCTTGTACATAAGTAACGTTGTGCCATTTCCTGGCATTGTACATAACCAATTATTTACACGTTACGTACAGCAATCCATGCAAAATGAAAACTACATACATTATTTACATGTGTTTTCAATAGCTAGTACTATCTACCTAATAAATTAAGGGAATAAGTAAATCATACAAATTATACAATTACCAAACAATCACTCAATACATATAGTTAATGTATTCTATCAACCGTCAAGTTCCATGACACACTTCATTGATTAGTTTCAGTTTGCCTAATCATCATGCATTGTCTACAACAATCACGACTATCCTCCACCGATAGCCCAAAGCTCTCGGATATAAGACCCGCCAACTCTCAACTTGAGGCCCCGCCTCAACTTCCGCTCAAACTCATAGCAACGGCGTTCCTCAGACGCCACCAGTTCAGGTGCAAACCTGGACAGACT